GCTCACTTTATGAACAGGCGGAAATATGCGCATTCGTTAACAAGGACACTGAAATCATGCATCAGTTCGTGAATGGTCTTAAGGACTCGGATTTAACAAACAAAATCAAGCTCATGGATTATAGTAAGCTGACTTTGCATAAATGTGTTGAGCTTGCACGCATCGGGGAAGCCGTTGGGAATAATTCGTCGACCCCACAGAATATTGATCACGTGACAAGAAAGGGGCGTGGCCGAGGTAAGACTTTCAAAAACAGGAAATTTGAACAATCCAAATCTTCTGGTGAACATTCAAAATCATCTGATTCGCCTTGTGGCAATTGTCTTACTGTTCACAAGCCAAGGAATGGTCCTGCATATAACAAGAAGTGCAAGAAGTGCAATTTCTGTTCCTGTTTGGGTCATTTTAGCAGAGCCTGTCGCAAGAAAAACAATAAAAAGATTCATGAAGTCAACAGTGATCATGATACCAGTGATACCCACAGTGATGATATCAACTTGGATGCAGACTCTACTACAGACTATGCGTTCCTGGGACAACTACATGAAAATGCAGATTCATCGTGTGATTCTAATAGTGTTTCAGTGCCAGATGAGCCGGCATGGCTTGTCAGTGTGAAGGTAGGTGGTATTTTCACAGGTACATTCAAAGTAGACTCAGGTGCTGATGTCACTATTATGTCCTTTTCTGATTACAAAAAGATTCCAGACCGTCCAGGTTTGTCCCCTTCCAAGACTAAACTTTCAAGCCCAGGGGGTATTGTCAAATGTCTGGGAGTGTTTACCACTACATTATCCTTACCAGATCAGCCTAATAAACGATTCAAAGCAAAGATACATGTTGCTAATACACACGCTGGGATTAATTTACTACCTCGGGGTTGTTCTGTGTCAATGGGACTTATCAAGCGTCTATGTAGCCTAACTTCTGTTGTTAAGAAATTGACTGGTTCTGACATACAAGACAAATACTCTGACTGTTTCGGTGAGATTGGTAAATTGACGTGTGAACCTTTACATATTGAACTTAAGGATGATCTTACATGTAAGCCTTATGCTGTTACTACATCGCGTCGAGTGAGTTTACCATTACTTCCTAAAGTGAAATCTAAACTTGAGAAACTTGGGAGTCAAGGGGTCATATCAAAAGTTACAAAGCCTACGGATTACTGCGCGCCGATCGTGGTCGTTGAAAAGAAAAATGATTCGGAACCTAGACTCTGCGTAGATTTGAGACAGTTGAATAAAAATGTGAAAAAAGAGAAATACATGCTTCCTACTTCGGATGAAATTCTTCACAAACTTAATGGTTCGACTGTTTTCTCAGTTCTTGATGCTTCTAACAGTTTTCTCGGACTTCCTTTAGATGAGGAATCGTCATACCTTACTACATTCATCACACCATTCGGTAGATATAAATTTAACAGAATGCCATTTGGGTTGAACTTCGCTAGTGAAAGTTATCAACGTCGCATGGCGGAAATATTCAGAGGTGTTGATGGTGCTGAAATCGTGATAGATGATATCATTGTACATGGCCGAGATCAGGCAGAACATGATCGAAGATTAAAAGTCGTTATGGAAATCATTCGAAAATCCGGTATTAAGCTTAACAAGCGGAAATGTCGATATTCGCAACCAAGCGTGACTTTTGTAGGTAATACTATATCAAAAGAGGGTGTTTCACCTACTGCTGAACATGTCAAAGCAATCATGAATTTAAATGAACCTACAAATGTGTCTGAATTGAGAAGATTTCTGGGTATGCTAAACTTCTTATCAAAGTTTATACCACACATGTCTACTGTAGCTGCTCCGCTATATGAATTACTTCGTAAAGATACTGCATTTGTGTGGGAGCAGGCACAAAAGAAAGCTTTTACTGATTTGAAACAATGTGTAAGTAAGGCACCAGTACTCGCATTTTACAATGTAGATCTACCTACTAAGGTAAGTGCAGATGCTTCTAGCTTTGGTTTGGGTGCTTGTTTATTACAGAAACATGAATCTGAGTGGAAACCTGTTGCTTTTGCTTCTCGTACCTTATCAAACACTGAGAGAAACTATGCTCAAATTGAGAAAGAGTGTCTAGCTTCTGTGTGGGCCTCTGAGCATTTTAGTAAATTCCTGACAGGACTGGGTGAGTATATTATTGATACAGATCACAAACCACTTGTTCCTTTGATCAATTCTAAGGCAATTGATAATGTGCCTATCAGATGTCAAAGATTACTGATACGTCTTATGCGATTCAATTGTAAAGCTCAATGGGTACCAGGTAAAGATATGTCTATAGCTGATGCCTTGAGTCGTGACCCATTACCAGATACTAGATCTAGCTATGATACAGCTTATGATACTGATATGAATCAGTACTTGTGTTCTGTTGATAGAAATAGACCCATATCAGATCAGCTACTTGAGAGTATACGTGACATGACTTCTCAGGATGTACAGTTACAGTTGGTAAGTAAGTACATTGCCATTGGCTGGCCAGACAGTATTAAGTCAGTACCACCAGATGTAAAACCATATTTTTCAGAACAGGGGTCGCTTAGCCTATACAATGGTTTGATTACTCATGGTTCTAGAATATTAGTTCCTGTGTCACTTCGTTCTGAAATTTTAGACAAGATTCACCAAGGTCACTTAGGTATAACCAAATGTAGACTACGTGCCAATCAGTCAGTATGGTGGCCAGGTATTAGTAAAGATATCTCAAAAATAGTTAATCAGTGTGAACACTGTCAGAAATATAACCATACACAGAGACATGAATCACTTATTCCTACTACATTGCCAGACAGACCATGGAGTTTGTTAGCAGCTGACTTATGTGAGTATGACAGCAAACACTGGTTAGTGGTTGTTGATTATTTTTCTCGATATCCTGAACTCGTGTGTCTTAACAAGAATACAACTTCAAAGAATGTCATTGATAAAATGAAAAATATTTTTGCAAGATTTGGCATACCAGATTGCGTCAATTCTGATAACAGACCGCAATTCGCAAGTGAGGAATTCGCTTCGTTCGCGAAAAAATACAATTTTGTACATGTTACTTCCTCGCCACATTTCGCACAATCAAATGGACTCGTTGAACGCGGAGTTCAAGTCGTAAAGCGCGTTTTATCGCAGTCGGATCCATTTTTGGGATTGTTAGCCTATCGTAGTTCGCCACATATGTCCACCGGGATTTCACCAGCTCAGCTTCTAATGGGTAGAAAAATCAAAATTACGATACCGACATTGCCAAAGACATTAAAACCAAAATGGTCCAATTTGAAACAAGTTGCAAAAACAGACAATCATGCAAAATTATCTCAGAAATATTATCATGATAGACGTCACGGTGTAAGACCACTGACACAGTTAAATCTGGGAGAACGTGTGCTTGTTAAAACTGATCGGGAAAATGTATGGAGTACTAAGGGCGTTGTTAAATCCCTAGATAGTCCAAGATCTTATCTTATAAAGACTGAGAAGGGAGGGATTATCAGGCGTAATAAGCGTCATTTAATGCCAGATTCCACTTACTCTAAAAATATTATCCCCGAACCAAGCTTTATCCCAGATATTCCTATCAAACCGGATGTGTCTCAATCCTTGAATAATAGCCCTATGAAGGCTACAGTTCATAATGCACCAACTACTACTTTGAGTTTGCCTGGTGTTGATCCACCAATACCTACACCTATATTTAATGAGCCTATGAATAGGTCTGTTATAGTGAATTCACCAGTGAAGGTTACACCACCAGGAATACAGACTCGCTCTAAGTCTGGTATTGTTGCAGATAAACCAGCTAGATTTAAGGAATGATTTATAGTGCTATATGATGGAGTTATGATTCATATATAAAGTGTTAAACATAGAGTAATGTGCTGACAGTGACAGTTGTAGCATACACATTACTAGTTATCATTAATAGATGTCATTTACATCTATGGACTTCTGTTTATTTACATTATATACATATAGTTATACATACTGTGTTTATATTAAGACATTCAACTTGAGAAATCATTTCTATAATTCTGATTTATTGACATACATTGGAATAGAGACACTTAAAGTGATTATGAAACATATATAGAGTATCAGACTTTGTATTTGCAAGCTGGACATTACATATACTTCAATTATATATACTTCAATGATACAGTGATCTTACTCCACTATGGTATATTGAGTTGATCTTAGTTACTTATATTGTGCTCAATATGCTTGAAGGGAGGTGTCATATAATTATGTAATACTAAAGTTATAGTATCCCTTTAAATGTGATGTGACGTCATAGCCTCGTTCTGGATTCAATAAATGACTGATCAAGGAGAAACTGTTTCCGTTTATGTTCTGTTACAACTCGGTATTTATTGTCTCATTACAACCCAGGCATTAATAAAAATTCAAACATAAAGAGGCTTTAACACGCAGTTCAATGACGGAGTTAAGGTTGCAAAACTTTTGGAGTTTCTACATCTTTCCCAATAAAATCTGTATTACAACAAAGTAGCTACTGAGCTAAAAAAAATTAAAAATCTATGCATAAGCTTTGTAAGTAAACGCGCGCAATGTCAGTTTGGGTTTAGTTGGTTTTAGATCTCTCGAAACCAAATATTAATCTATTATCTAAATGATGTTATTGCAACAATGATACAATATAGATATCACTACGCCCATTGCCTTTATTTTGGGAAAGCATATAAAGCTAATATGCTTCACATCAAAAACATTTTTCACTAGAAAATATGCTCTGGAATGGACATAAACAGACTATTATATTGGGTTTATAGTCCAACTCAGACGTTCAGTTCTAGCAACTGGCCCAAATCACCTAAAAATATAGTCAATTGGACGTATTGTTCCAGGAAATTTTGTTCTGGTCTATATTTACAGTGATACCTATCCGGCCTTTCGTAAAAGAAGAATCAAAACTATTCAAAAGCATATTCCCTCAAGATATATCACTGCAATTTCAGTACCTCTTCATTATGTTAATCATGGTACAGGGTTTAAAGTTACAATAATGAATTGCTCAAACTTACTAAAAATGGGAGGTATGCTTGGCGGAGGTGTTACTAAGGCTGCAGTAGTTGTGCTAGATGTTTGAATAAGTTCGGTGCTTGTGGATCGATTGATGCTTGTCGAGGCTAGTGTGGTTGCGTAAGGTGTCGTTGTAGGTCTTGTTCTTGCATATGTTGTGTTATCTTGTAGAAGTGTCGTAGTTTTGATTGTGTTATTCGCTGTTGTAAAGTTATACGTTGTGTTTGCTGCTGTCGTATTATCTGTTGCCATGGTAGTTATCGTATCAGCGTTAACAATACCAGTCCCAACATCATCTCGTGAAGAATAACACACAGTGAGGAGACATGATAATATGGCTGAAATGAATGTAACTTACAAAGAAAATGAACACAGAAATAGTATCTACATAGATTCAATGACATTGTAATAAATAAACTCAGATTAAATCAGTAGAAAAAATATTCTTAGTTCTTGATCGGTTTTAGTTTTCAAAGTTTTCAAATCCGTATAATCCACATGCTATTACTTTACAACTTCACAATTATATTTTCATTGTTATATTTTGCATAATAGTCTTACCGATCTGTCTCGTCAGTCTCGGCATTTTGTATACTTCAATCGTTATCTTATTACTCTGATTCTCAGAAAACGTCAGCTATTTTAGTACAGTTTACATTTTTATCTTCTGTACTACAAGACTTATTTATTGTAAAAATATTTCTCATCGTAAAATAGAATTACTTGACGATGAGATACCGAACACTTATGCCTAAGGTTATCTTTTTCTTGACTTTAAATCGTGATGTTTACCAAAATTGGAAAGTCTAAAGGGTGACGCCTGAGGACAATAGCGTAGATTCTGTATTTTCATTTAACATTGTATTGTAATGTGATGTGCTTTATGATGCATGTCGCATTGTATTGCATTGCTGTGTCTTGTATATTGTAATAAAGATACTCGTATATATGGCAAAACTTGGTAAACTTACACCATGCCGGTTAACAATTCAATCATTTATTCATATTTACAAATTCCGATTGTTCCTATTTACATTAACATAGTTGAATTTTGGTAAGAGTTTGGATGAAAAAATGTATGTATGGACGAACTTTAAAACCTGGGTTGTGATTAGTGAAAATTTTCTTTGAAAAAGTTGACTTTTTGACCTGCCTTCTACTGTCAAAATCAACATGACAGTTTTATCATTTTTTATAGATGGCGTATTCAATGGGTGAGATCTTTTGATTTTCGTTGAGAGATTTGAGTCAAACCTTTTCGACTGACAGATGACACGATGGATGACATGTTTTAGCATGATGGCTTGAAAGCAAAACATGGCCAAAAAACTTATTTATACTAAAAGACTAGTCATTTGTATTTGAAAAGCCGTCTTCACTGGGGATATCGTAATACAAAGACACCATGTCTTTGTAACAGGATGGCCAGTTTCCTAATGATAGATTCTCGACGATATTTTGTTTTCTCCATGTAAACATTTCTCGGACGATTTCCTTCATAAGAGTATACGTGCAGTAAGCACATAATCTCTAGTTTTTTAAATTCCAATAAGTATTCATCTCGTATTATCATTAAAGGAATTCTAGGCGACAGTAATGACAAAATATTGCACCTGGGACGAGATTTAACGACTTTGACACATTCTTTACCCTACTTATTTTGTAATTTAATAATCAACACAAATATACATACCACATGAAAGCAGATATCGGACAAGTTCATAGAGAAATATTTTTTGATCGATAAAATCATCGATTACTAAACCGGGAGTGTGTTCTGCTGTTATGCGGTAAACAAGATACAAAAATATGTCATATTCCGCAACAAATATGGCATATTCACTTGCGGTGTATGCGGACTCACCTGCGGTATGTGGCATACAAACTAACCAATGAGAACGTGATACGGAAGTACGTAATTGTCAATTGCATCGATTGAACGAACAAGTAAAATTTTATAAATTATTATAATGATTACTGAATCAACAATACAGTGTATCGAATATATCAACTTATGCAGAAGTATCACTCACCAATCTCACGTAATAAGCTTACCCAATCAATCCAGGATTCATATATTAGTACTCGACGCACTAACTATAGTGGTAATCCAGCGTAGTTTTACATTTAGAATCGATTCTCTCAACCAATCAAATCAAGGCTTTCTGTATCACGCTCACCTCACGTTCACCTACTGTATATATCATATTCACCTGCGGTGTATGGCATATTCCGCAAGTGAGTATGACATATCCCGCAGGTGAGTATCGAGTATTCAATGAAATCAAAGTATCGCATATTCACTGCGGAATATCTGACCTGCGAAATATACTGACCTGCGAAATATGCCATATACCGCAGGTGAGTATGGCATATTCACCCTTTACAAATACCGCGCAACCATGAATGTACGCCATATTCCGCGTAACATTCTGTGACGTCCGCGAAGAAGACAAAGAAGAAGACGTGTACAGATTTCAGTTATTTCAATTTTGCCATGGACTCGATTTAAATGCTTCTAAATGATCTCCGAATGCTTACTATGGATTCTAATAGTACTGTTTTGACTCCCCCCTTCATAAAAGAACAGTATCACCATTTACACGACTCGTAAATTTACTTCGGTCTACCGAGAAAAATAAAAGTCTTTAGAACTTTTTAGTCATCAGTCTAAATTTGGATTTTTAAAGGGTTATACATCGACTTTGAATGGATCCTCATGCATATTTTGAAAATAGGTTCACCAAAGAAAGTGTTAGACCATCATGTCTAGTATGTCTATAGCCAGAAAAAGCGTTATTTTGAACCATTTTATTGTCTATACAGTAAATCGCAATATCACTTTAAGCAAGAAATTCATGATGAGACTTATTTGATTTGGTTGGTTAACGAGCGGTTATTCGCTCGGTATATAGGACTGCAGTCTGCCCGTCAATTGTGGGTCAATTTTTCCCGTTCTTAGAGCATTTAATCTGGTCAAATACAATCAGAAAAAAGAACAAAAATGTAGCATTGTTTTGCTTTGTTAAATAGAACAATTACCTTTATTGAATTGACACATTATAAACATTAAAAACAGATATTTATATTTTACATAAATTTACCTTTTGTGAATGATATCATTTGCATATATCTCCACTTTGATCGATAATGAAGATGTAGTACAATGCAGGACAATACAAAGTTAGACTACAGTAAATATCTAGCGTTTTGATTATCCCTTTTGTAATATTTCCTTAATTTCATACAATATGATATTTGATCCACATTTCTATCAAAGGTAGCATATCATTCAAAATATATGCCAAATGCCACTAGAAAAAATTATTTTAGTGATCTCTCAAGAGATCAGAAACTATTGTGCATTGTACATTAGGATGTATGATAGAAGTTTGGCACGGCTTTGTATAGAAACTCTACTAACGTACGTGGGGCATGATACAGTCTTTATTCAATCTCCATCTATGTTGAATTGTAGATGCAAAATACACTCGTAGGCTACATGTATGTCTTATATATCTAACATTTGTCTAGTCATAAAATAAGGCAACAATAGACAATTTTTATCTTTGCTATTTTATCCTGAATCAAAATTGAGCAATTTGAAATGCTCGTTGACATTCACTATGAAAGAAATCTACACTAACTCGTTTTTTATTTGCTAGGGAATTCAAGGAAGTCGCCTAAAAGGTGTCGCTATATTGTCACATTTAAATTGCATTACAAACTTTACCTCTTGCACAGTGCTTTCTGTATTCTACTAGAATTATTGTTGCAATGCAACATGCCTTTTCCTATAAAGCTTCGTGATATATACATGGAGTGTAAAAGGTGTTATAACCATCAGACCTAACCAAACTTTTCAAAAAGGCTTTAGTTTAATGTCCTGTTTAAGAATGCCTTTTTTCTATTGAAAACGAATTCTACTAATACTCTCATATGAATCTATTTGTTGAGACTCAATCAACTTGGAGTTCTTCTAAGAGTCTCGACAAGTAGATTCACACGGGGGGGGGGGTATTGGTAGAATCCATTTTCAATAGTAAGAATAGGGGTCCTTAAACAAGACTATTGCTATTATATTGCTATTATTGCTATTAAAAACCTTTTAAAGACTACATAACGTTTTGCCTTTCGATATGAGAGAGGTTTCGGTAAAGGTTTTCAGGCGAACTTATTCTGCAACTTCTACTTTTAAATGAAAAAAAAACCACGAGGGAGGAACATTTCTCGAAGACTAATTCCCTCATTTCCTAATCGAGGGAATTGATTTGTGAAAATTCAAGCAATTACAGTATCAACTTCTAAGTTGAAATCGCATTTTGAAACCGGAACTACATCGCTGTTCCACAGCTGGATGACTCTAACTGCAGTTAGTTTCATTCAAGATGGTTGCCGACATTTTGTCGTTTTTGATAAACCTCCGTTTCAGCTAAACTTTCGCCACGCAAATTAATAAAGCTACGATGGTAATTCCACAAATAAATGCTCAAACAACCGCGATATTGGAGAATTTTAAAGAAATGGCTTCCTTAAGAATGACACTAACTGAAGTTGATGATGACATAATGATGACATACGAGGCCCGATCAGAAAGTTTCTTACCAAATGCTCTCATTTTTTGTTTCTTTACATTTTAACCTGAATTTTTTACAGAATATACATACACCATTTACCTTTAGTTTACACATATTATTTGGGTATTCGATGTTTACTGTTGACTAAGATGTTGCTATAGCAACCACATTCAAGGAAAGGTGGAGCAGCTCTATTTTGTAGCTGAGCCTAACCTACTTTATCTCTTTTAGCAACCACATACACACTTGTATCATCACTTTTTGTATAGTTTTGAATGTCCGATGTGTTCAACTGAATTGTTGCTATGGTAACACTGCTTAAGTGATGTCATAATATTCTAGTCATAGTATGTTATGCCCACCTACTTTGATTGGCAGTCATTTTGTTCATGGATGATTGATTGATTTTTAAAATAAGTGAAACAATTTTGCGTAAAATTGCGGTTAAGCAGACAAGAGACACTACAGACGATACAGAATGCATGTGGAGAGGAAACCATGTCCCGTCCTGCTGTTTATGAGTGGCATGATAGGATTTGACACCATGTGATTACTACTTGTTTCACGAGGCGAAAAAGCCTCTCCGCGGATTGAAATTTGAGGACGATAAATCAATAGTTGAAGCCTTCAATAGCAGCCTCTATAGAATATCTGATTCCATTGAAAATCTTGTATTCAGAGATCATGTCACCAGAAGCAGGAAGTGTATCTCATTCGGGGGAGATTATTTTGAAGGCATGTGAGGCATGTAAAGACCCTCCATTATGACCCAAGTATCAAGGAATGGCGTGAAATCGCCCTCATTACAAACAGTGACAGCTGCTCCACCCTAGGTAATTTCAAATCCAGAAACATCTGTATTTTTTTGTAAATCTCATTCAATTAATAAATAATTTATGTCATCTTACAAGCAATGTTGTATGTACCAATGGTATATCCTGTAAAAAATTCATGTTAAAATCTCAAGAAATAAAAAAATTGAGAGCACTCGGCAAGAAACTTTCTGATA